TATGATCATTGGCGTTACAATAATTCGGCAGAACATATTCAAGTTGGTCACAAATGCTTGGAAATTTTCAATAGAATCATGTTGGGATGTCCACCTGTAAATGAAATTCCTAAACATACTGATCCTATGATATCTACTAAAGAAAGCCCGTTACAAAATTCACTGCGGAAAAATTTGTCAAAAAGTTTTTTAAATGATGGGGGTTTATATCACGCACTTCCATTATTTTCTATAATTGAAAGAGGTAAAGAACAGAGACATTATGTAGAGAGAGTTTCAAACTATCAAATGTCACAGGATTCGATCGAATTGCAAGAGTTGACATTGTCATTTCTTTTAAGACTGTTAAAGACACGAATAAAAAGCGCTGAAGTCTCTTGGATGGAAGTTAACTTGTTAGAAAGATCTTCAGAAAATAATAATAATAATAGATTAGTTGCGGCAATTGCATCATTTATCAAACGTACTGACAACTTGAACATCTCAATATTATCCTGCGAGTTGTTGACTTTACTTTTTGAGTTAGCTATAAAAGCGTTACCAAAATGGACATCGTTAGGTAGTCTTCTTGGAAGTGACTCTGAATCAAAAAATTTGATAAATATTTTTCTACATAGGCTTAAAACGGAGGTTCAAGCACCAACTCTTCAGGTTGCCATCTTAAATTTTTTCACTATTTCGACTCACGCACATATTGGGTTAATTATTCAGGGATCCCATATTTTCTCCGATGTATTTGACCGTAAAGGCAAATCCAAAGCTACGGACGTTACTTCTTTTGATTCTATTATTCGAATTGTTCTCGATTTTCTACAAGATTGGGAAAATCTTCAGCAAGAAAAACCGTTTTTATTACTAGCTACAATACGATTCCTTGATGTATTATGGGAAAATTCTCGGAATTTTGATAAAAGTATTTTGCAAACATTACGGGAAGATAATAAGTTTTGGGACAATTTAGCAGCAATACTTTTTGGGGATTTGGATACAAAAATACAACCACATAAAGTTTTCGATTTAGTTCAAGATCATCTTATTAGTGATGTTAATAATATGGTGGCACAAGTATGTTGCCATCTTAATATTAAAGCTCGGGTGCTGCGAATATTAGCGCATGAAATTTATATTCTGACATCATTTAATGGTTCGAAAGATGCCAATGATTTTCTCAAAGCCATTCCTTCAGGCGGTTTGAGAACAATTTTTGCGGAAATTAAGGATTCAGATAAGCTTACAACATGGCTTAAAGATTTTACACGTATTGACTATGATTCAACAATTCAACGTTCTCTTTATGACATTAGAGAACGTAGCTTTCCTTGGCTCAAATTACAAAGACTGACCATTGTTTGTTGGAATGAGGATTATGATTTAAGTCATATTTATGGTGACAATTACATGTATGATATTAATTTAGCAAGGAAATTATTAAGCCTTCGCAATAATTCACCAGATTCTGAAAGATTATTGCATGCATTATGTAAAGAAAATCATCATTGGTCCCGGATAGATGCGCAAGTTGTGTTGCTCAGGTCATGGAAATATCTTATGGAAGCAGCTTCTGATAGGTTGGCTGGTGTCTTTTGGACGTTGAAAAACAAATCCGACGTTTCTTGGCCGATTTTGAAAGGTATTGCGGAACGTATTGAAGAAGAAACGCGCGATGGGCATATCATAATGATGATGATTCGTGATGACTTGGCTTCTTTACTGTTACGCTTATTGGAACGATTGTCGACTTCTGAGGAATCCTCTATTCCAGATCACACTATACATTATGCTGAATTAATCAATCTATTGCACAATGGAATAATGAGTGTAATTTTTCCTATCCGTGACTCTGTTTTAGAACGTTCTACACCGCCGTTTCATCGACCGCTTTTACAATCTCTATTATTATGCCTTCGCGCACTTCACAATAGCCCTTTATCACGTGATAAGTCAATCTTACCAGGATTTCAGTCTACTTGCCGTTCTCTCCTTACCGAAATTAGCGCTTTGCTGGAATCGCTTATGAGCAGGAAAGTAAATGATAATGCTATTGAGGAAGACATTTTGACATTGGTCGCAATCCTGGAAAAACTTATACATCCATTATGTAACCCGTATCCTACTGTCTGGCTCAAGATTCTAGAAGACCATCATATAATTCAATTGCTCCTCAACACATTTAACTACTCTTTATCTTTGCCATGGAAAGATCGCGCAATATATACCGATAGCGTGATGTATTTTCTTTTATCGCTGGCAAATGTTCCAGTTGCAGCGAAGCAATTGTATCATGATGGAATAATGACAGAGTTTTGCAATAATAGGTTGTCGCAAGCTTTGCAAAAAGGGGATGTTCAACCAAATTCAAAAGAAGATCGACATCAAGTGTGGTGCTTTATGTTGGCAGTGGTAACAAGTATATTATGTACGATTGAAAGTAAAGAAAAGGCCAATTATTTGAGAAACGTAGTAGGCTTTGTCAATCTTTTCAATAGTCAAATCCTTCATGCAATGACGTGTGAACTACCAATTAACATGCCATATCTAGAGGAAATTCAACGTACAACAATGTTATTTCATCAATTGGCACTTCATATAGGACCACCTGGTGAAATTGAAATTTCTCGCTATTATGAAGAATCCTTAACAACACTTTTAGCCAAGATTAACTATCTTTTTACTCATCCAAAAACTACTTCTCTGATGGTGTTACCGTTGACACCTGATGAAAAAGAACAATCAGCCACGCCTGTTTCGGATGGTATAAAGTCTGCATTCCAAAAAGCCATGCCACAAGTAAATGTTACATCTCCCGGTCCTTATGAAATGAACAGGTTCATGCAACGTGTTCAGCAAAAACTTTTAATAATTACACGTAATATTTTGGCTACCTTTATTCATTTGGCCAATTCTAAGGATGTTCTTACCATGTCTATACCGATATGGTCGGAGCAACGTATATACTTTGAACCATTGATAAAAGGTTCAGATGATGAGCCTGCAACTATTGCCACCTTATTAGAATTAATGGACTACGGGCTAACGTTACTTGAGTTATGGGAATTATCCATTAGCTCTGATCAAATTGATGATTGGCAATTCTGGCGCGTGACTTGGAAAACAACTACAACTTTTATTGAAATGACCTTTGTTTTAGCAACATCGCAATTGACATCAAGCTTTTACTCTGAACCACATAAACGAAAAGATATTCAAGATTTAATGACTGATGTGAAATCTCGTATGATCAATGTACAACGATTAATAAAAAAATTATTAGACACTGGCGCACGAATTAAAACGGAGGAACATGAGTTAAAATCAGTTGAAATAGTTTTGCGTGGATTACAGCAGTTTATCTCTAAGGCATTAGGTACGGTTTAGAGTTCGGAGCCGGGTTATAGTAAACCGGGTCACCCGCGTCAAAACGGTTCAACCGGGTCAAAACGGTTGAATATGTAATCTCTAAAAATCTATTATTATTACACAGAAAACAAAATTTAACTCATTATTATTTGTACGTAGTGTGAATAAATACCCTTTTTTTCTTACTAATTTTATCTAAATGCTCAATCCCGCTAACCTGGATTTAAAAAAAAGTTACAAATTTTTGGAGGTTACTATACGGACTATCTATTGCGAAAATTTTGTCAAAAATTTTCCTTTGTATAAATCATCATTATTATTTTCTTTTCTTGGCTAATATGTAATACACTGTGTTCCATTAGGGCACCTTTTACCCTAAACTTATGACGTAGTTATAATAGATATTTATCAACGTGAGTCAAATCATCTGACTATAAGTATATTTATAAGAGATGAATTTTAACAGTAAAAAAAGGTGGGTTTTAAGTTTGGAGATGGATTTGACCCTTAAACCGTCATAATAAGCGGTCGTTTAAATAATTTGACGAAAAATAGAATATACAAAAAAAAAATGTATAAAATTTTTGATTCTAATTGGCTGACTAAAAAACTCGAGCCACATGTCAGGTTAGTGATGTCTAAAAAATTTTACCATTTTGTGTAATCCGAGCTTCCGGACTTAAATAATTATGCCGAAAATCACCAAATTTTTTGGCGAATTTTACTAATGAACCCGCTAAACGATGTACTAAGTAGAGATTTGCAACCCGGGCTCGTGTCTGATTTAACAAAAAATTTATGCATGGGTATGGGTATGAAAATTTAGGTACAGAGATGGGTATAGACATAAAACTTAAGTATAGACATGGGCATAAATATAAAATTTTAATATATGAATTGGCATGGTTACAAAAATTTGGCATATATACAAATATAGATACAAAAATTTAGTATAAATATAGATATAAAAAATTAAATATAGTGTTACAGTATTTTGGTTTTTTTAATAGCAGTACTATAACAATAACATGGTTATAGAGATTTTTTACAGATTTATAGTAATGTTTAATAAGTATAATTTTTATATTTATAAAATTTATATTCTTTTTTTTTTTGTTTTTTTTTTTTCGGTGTTAAGGTGAGGTCTTGCCTTGTATCTTTATTTAAATATTTATCAAGTATTTGCCTTATATGACTACATATCTATCTTAAGAATACAGACTTAGACAATTTTATCTACGATCTAAACTATCAAAGTATGCTATGTTTTTACCATGTATTGGGTTATACTTGGATTTGGTGTTCAGACTATATCTAGTTACTCATCACATTTACCTCATATCTCATCATCAAATCTTGGTAACTTTTAAATTGGTTCATTCAGGTAATCAGTTCTTAATGGCCTCCAATTTGATGTACCTGTTATTTAAAGTATTTTTTTAAACTGGTATACTCCTTCTAATAGGTAGTCTCTCATTTACATCTCTTAGGTCAGGTATCTGCTACCATTACTAGTCCCACATAAGAAGTATTGATATCATATATTGAAAAGGGGGCTTATCATAAATTTGCACTACTCAGTTCATGTGATACTTTTCATTAAAATAATCATATTATGTTATCTGCTAGCTTGTATTCTTTTATATAACTTAATATTACATAAATATTCCAAATCTTCTACTTGTATCTTCAGGTATACTAGCCTCGTATCTCAAGCCAGACCTTGCTACTATCACCCAGTTTGCCATCTTTAGATTTTAGTGTTTCTTAAGTTATCTGATGCAGTGTATTTCTTACTACCTTCTAAATACTCCCTTATATAGTATTCATTAGAATTATAGTTCATGAGGATCTCTTGAGTTATATAGCAACTACAAGATTATACACTTCTAGCTATTAGCTATTTTCATAATTTTGCTTTAATGACCTATCTTGTTAAAGACTAGCTTAACACTACAAAATTACTTAAGTAGTAAGCTAAATCACTTCTAGTTATTTTTAGTTAGTATTGCATTAATATTGATAAATCCTAACTCTTTTTCATCATAAATTTTTATATAGGTATGATCAGAATTCTGAATTAGTACCTTTAGATATATAGGAGTAGATTACATTCTTTATATCAAGTAGCTTTCTATAGTCATTCTATTGGTGTTTGAAGTGTTTCCAATGCTAGTTAAGATATAATTCTTTACTACAGCCTATAGTTGTGTATCACCACTTCTCTCACTACTTCAGTTTTGATAATATAGTATCATTCTTTCAAGCAAATACCTAATGCTATTCTATATTAGAATTTATACATACAATCCATTGATTATCTTTTCAAGCAAGTACCCCACAAGTTAGATATAGGGATATTGATATTGCCAAATATAGAGGTGATAGGATATTGGTGTTGTCTTTGAGTCACCCTAACCAGAGAACTTACACATGTGATCTTCTACTGTTTAGACCTTCTATGATACCGCTGTCATATATAGTGTCTTCATTTTATAACCTGGTCTTCTTCTAAGAACTTCTTATTCTGATTTCGTACTATATTTAAACTTTTCCACAAAGCTTTGCATCTAATTATAGCTCCTATAGATTACAGAAATAAATTTTATTAAAATTTGCCTTCAGCTTGACTCAAACCGTTAACCTAGTCTGTAGAGGTTTGGGAGCTTAACCAATAAGCTATAGAACTCAAACTTATATATTTTTTTTTGTAATAATTTAGATAAATAATAGTTTATAGATAAAATATATATTTATTAAAAAATATAAAAATAAATTATTTTTAGATTTTTATTTCTAAAGAATTCTATAAGATTATATGAGAAAATTTAATAAAGAAAAGTATTTAGATTTAATTAATATTTAATATTACTTAAAAAAATTTATAACCTTTTTACTATATATATATATCTATATTTTATTTTTTTATTTTATCTTTTTCTGTATTTTAAAGATCCTTAAACATCTTTAAATTTCTTATATATCTCAAAAATTAAAAATTTTGTTTTTGCAAAGATTACCAGTATGGCAAATTGGTCGTTATATATCATCATATTAATGAGATAGCTTATGTTTCATTAAATATATTATTTAATATTCTGGATTTTTGGTATCATAGTATAGAATCTATATTCTTTAGATTTGTAGTTCTTTGACTTCACATAATTTACAAGCCAGATTATTCTTTTTATATCTAATATCTTTGATTCTAGTAATCTTTAAGTTGGATTTCTTAATATTAGCATTATTTGTTGATGAATTGTGTCTTATTTGGTTATCCCTAACTCCATAGTTATATTAGTAGATTATAATTTATACAATTTTTTTTTTTTTAAAAAAATCTTTTAAAGATCTTATCTAATTATAATCCTGGCAGAGCTATTTATTACTCAGTTGAACTTGAACTTGCGATTTTGCGATTGTAACCCAGGCGCATTAACTATTGCACTATCAATTCACAGGTTTTTACTATATATTTTTAATATTAATAATTAATTAATTTACATTTTATATCTATTGAAGTTAATATATAAGGGGAGTCAATAGAAATAGGACAAATCATTTTTAGTGAAATATTTTTAATTTTAAATTGCAATTTCTTGACAACTACTTAATCAATTTTAATAAATTTTTTTTATTTTAGTTCTAGAATTATCTAGAATTAAAATAAAAAAAAATTTATTAGATTTAATAAGATAGTTAACAAGATATTTAAACTTAAAGTTAAGAAAACTTTTATTTAGAAAAAATTTGTTATTTTTCTACTGACCCCTATATTTTACTTATATATTATTCAGATTTTGCTTTTTTAACTAACTTTATTTAATTATCTATACTGTATATTTCTTTCACTTTTTACTAATCTTATTGATAACTTTTAAATTAGTTCTTTTATTTTAAATAATTGCTATTATATTATAGAAATTTCTAGGCATCTTTGGCCAAAGATATATAGCTTATATATCTCTGGCTTATTAGCTAATAAAACAAAAAAATATTACTAAGTTATTTTCATGCGATCATATGATCATGTGATTTGTTCTTGGCTAGTCAGATAAGTTTGTATAATCTAGCCTATTAGTCTTTCTTAACAAACTTATGTGAAATATTATTAAATCATCAAAAAAATTTCACTATACGATATTTATTATATTTGAAATAAATTTAACAATTTATTTATTTAAAAAAATATATTACATGATACATATATATATATAATATAATGTTATCCTATAGAGCAAATTCTAATATCATCATATTATTAATTATATTATAATGACTAAATTATAATCACATATATAGGTGATACCAAAGGAAAGCTAGACTTTGATCATATAAATTTTATATGATTGAAGTCTGGTTTTCTCTTAATATTATCTATATATATATGTGTTTATATATTTGTCATAATGTAATCCAAGAATCTAAAACTATCAAAGTAAAAAAAAAGTTAGTTCTGAAAAAAAAAAAATAAATAAATTGAAACTAGTACTTATCATATAATAAGCCAGCTCCCAGTCTCAAACCTAAATTCTGTTCTAATGCTAAATATAATACAAAAAAAAAATTAGTATCAAAAAAAAAGAGAAAATAAAAACTGATACCTATAGTGTATTAGTTCTCAGTTTCAAATTCAAATTCTGTCTGGTATTAAATTCAAAATCTACAAAAAAGAGAAGAAAGTTAGTACCAGAAAAGAAAAGAATCAAGTAAGCAAATAAAATCTAATATGTATAGTGTTTTTGTTTCTATCTCAAGTTCAAATTCCCATTCTGATGCTAAAAACAAAATCTACAAAAAAAATTGTAATATCAGAAAATGAAAAAAAATTGAAAAAAAATAAATAGAAACTGATACTGAACCTTATATCATACTAGTTTCTAATTTCAAGTTCAAATCTTATTCTGACACTAAATATAAAAAGAAAATAAAGTTAGTATCAGAAAAAAAACCAAGAAAATGAATAGAAGTTCATAATTACAATATACTAACTTCTAGTCTCAAGTCCAAATTTTGGT